CACACACACACACACACACACACACACACACACACACACACACACACACACACACACACACACACACACACACACACACACCTGCATCTTTGCATGGTGGATGTGGAGGTGTCAGCTAACTAATCAATGGAAGTCTTCCTGCAGTAACGAGTGGAGAGGATCATATTAACACCGCTATTGATTTAGTCTGAGGGGGACTTCATGGTGGTTGAATTACAAGATACATAATGAATACACTCCAGTATAAACGCCAGCTTTGTAGCCGTCACACATACGCACGCAGGCAGGCACGCACGCACACACACACACACACACACACGCTCTCATACAGACACGTTTGTGAAAGTGGTGCAGTGATGATCCATCTGTCCAAACACAGTCAGAAGGGTGTGTGTGTGTGTGTGTGTGTGTGTGTGTGTGGGGGGGGTCAAACACAATCTGGAACAATCTTTAATTGCATCTGGAGCTAATGGCCGTAAATGGGTTGAATGAGGCGGGAAAACTCATATCCTGCTAAGTGCTCGAATGCACAAGAGGCCAATTGGCAATTTGATGGCATGCTCTCTCTCTGAGTAATTGAAGTCGAGTTAATTGGAAGAATAGATTGAAGGCCGTCCGATAGAAGAGGGTGGGGGGGGATCTATTGAAGTGAGGGATTGACCTTTTTGTGGGCGGTGGAGTCACTACAGGGCACCGGGGGGGGGAAATAAGTGGTGGAAACTTTCTCTGCCGATTGATTTTGTGTGAAAATTATACCCAAGGCAATTTGTGTTGTATTATTCTGACACTATAGATCAGATGTTTTCCTTTCTTACAGTTTACATTTCCGGGTAGTTTTGTCTGAGTGTGTCTAAACACTGCCCCCTGGTGGTTAGAAATGCGGTACTGCACCTCTGCTGCGTAAAGTGGGCCAATTGTGCTTTTTGGAGTTTTCCCTTTCCTGTGGTGTTTTATATGGGTTTTTAATGCATCATTAAATCAAACCCTTGTCATCTTAAATTCTTTGTTTTTTGCATGTGTCCACAGTAAATGAAATACCAAAACATTTCCACAATTTATTGATGAATTGTCGAAAATTGGAGCCACGTTTACAGCAAAACCTAGCGTGCAAGGACGAGTACTAAGTGTTTCTGCAGACGTGTATTAAAGAGTAACATTTTAGGGAAAATGCACATGTTTTATGAGATAAATATGATTAATCCCAAATAAGGAAAATATATTGTTAAAGCAGCATGTTAAAAATGCATTGCACAAGTTAAAAATGTAATAAAATAAACAGTAAATAAATACATATAAACAGTAGAAATATATATTCACCTACATCTGTTAACGGTCTACATAATATTTATTAATGGATTTTATTACTGTACACAATATCATTTTTTCACTTTTGTATCTTCTGTTGCCTATATGTTTATAGTATACTTATTTCTGCATTTTAATTGCAACAGTGTGTCTTGCACTATTCCATTTGTATTTCTTCTTCAAGGTAGGGTATAGGTAAGAATGGAGAAACCAGCTCGAGTGCGCTAGAATTTGAAAATACACAACCAGAAAAAATCTGCCTCTTCCTTCAGACTTCCTTACAGAGCCCCTCCTCCAACACACACGAACGTGCACATGACCAATGAGGGCACGAGATAAGTTTGTGCACAGATGGAAGGCTGACAGGCAGGTAGGCCATCCAGTTATTTTAGCCGGGCCGGCTCAGATGATTGGTCGTGCTTTTTACAGAACTACGGCTTCCACAGATGACATTTTGTTATGGATTTATAATAATAATAATATATGTTATTTATAAGCGCACTTTTCATTTGCGTAAATAAAACTCAAAGTGCTACAAAATTAAAAAGGGTGAAATAAAAACAACAAAAACAATTTAAAAACGACATAATAAAAGCTTTGACATTCATTTTTTGTCAAAGCACTTCAGATATTCATTGCTATCGGGATGTTAAGAGCATTCCATGGGATATAACAAAAAGTGTATCTCGTGCCGGTTTCTCAAACTTACCTACCCCACCTTTATATGTATTCTGCATTATATTGCAAGTTTTTATGTCTAAAACTACACCTTAGCTAATGTGCAAATGTGAATAAATCCTTTGAGTCTTTGAAAGATCCATATCGATAGAATATACAATGTAAAATAAACAGAATATGTCAAAATACATTCGATAATCTGCCTGAAAAAGACGAAGAGGCAAACACAACTTTTGTGGATAAACCCTTTTATTGAGCATGTGTATAGTCACTGAAGACACCCACCTTGTGTCATTTATGAACATTGTTTTCTGTGCAGCAGCACCAACAAAACCCAGAGACTGTTAAGTAACTTTGAATATGAAGATGTTAATCACGGATGGCACTGTCTCCTCCTGTCTCCTCTCATCTAACCCCCCTCCACACTTTCATCCTTCCTCTCCTCAGCAGTTTGGCACCTTCAGAGTGGCAGTTCCACACCTCCTCCATCACCTCAGGGCTTTTATATACACTCTGAGAGCAACACACACACACACACACACACACCATCACAAAGCATTTGGTGATGGATTTCCCGTGAGCTGAACCCATCGCTCCTACATGATGAAACTCGGGCAGATGAGTCATTCTGTTCGAGTCTCTTTCTACTTTTCGGGACGGAGGGTTTAACATATTGGCACATTTACAAATATTTACATTTGCACAAGAAAATGAAATGTAGAAAAACTATTTTTTTTGTACATTAAAGGAATACGTCACCCAAAAAAAAAGAAAATGTCGTTAAATAGATCATTAAGTCACACCAGTGTTACCTTGAACTCTTGAAGACATATTAGTGTTTTTCTTGCGTGTCACAAAGTAAGATGTTTGATAAGAATAATTAGCATATATTTGGATAAATATGACTTGAATTGGACAATGAAAGTTGTGCAAACATTTGTAACTAGTGTTTTCATGCAGTTTTTGTTGTTGTTGTTGTTGTTGTTGGACCATTTACTTCACTTCATCACAACTTCTGTGTCTTATGATTTTTTGTCGGCATGCAAGAAAAACTTTTTTAAGAATTCAAGAAAACATTGTGTGAGTAATTGATATCTAAAGGATTCTTTAGGGGGTTAAAGTATCCCTTTAAGCACAGATCAGTGCACGAGTTTGGGCTTGGCGTTGTCTTTGGTATACATCAGTTTATGTTCATGTGTGTGTAGGAACCAGACAATTATTTCAATCAATATTCATCATAAGGTTCCAGGTAGTTGGTGGTCTTCGGGCGAGGGATGGTGTAGTCCTTGTCTGGGTCGATGTCCTGAAACATGGAAACACACATTCATCACGTCAGTGCCTTTAATACCTTTTGATAAACTGTGCTTTCATTCACCCTTCGTTACTGAACTTAAGTGCATGTTTCTGGTATCAGTTCTTTACTCCACTACTTATTTTTCTGACGACTTTTTACTTTTACTTCTTACATTTTGAACTCAAATACCTGTACTTTCTACTTCTTACATTTTGAACACAAATACCTG